GAATTTTTCCAAGTTTTTAAAATGAAAATTATTCGAAAATATCAATAACTTCATTTTTAAATAAATATTTAACAATTATTATTTTTTCATATAGAAATTAAAATTTTCAAAAATTTGAAATTCAATAACTTATATTAATTAAAACTTGCTACTTTGTGACTATAACTTCTTCGAAAATTATTGTCATCATTATTCATTTCTAGAATTTTCAACTAAAATCTTCTTTAGGTCAATTTTTTTTAAAAATAATTTCGATTATTCTGACATTCCTCAATTAAATATATTAGAAATTCAAATCTAAAATAATTTTAAAAAAATTCCATTAAACTTATTGAAAAAAATTAATTCTACAGAATTCTTTAATTAAAATTATGAAAAGTTCAAATTTTCAAAGATTTTAATTTGAAACCTTTTGAAAATTCAATTATTTCTAAAAATCCACGCTATTTAGCTTTCAATTTTCAATTATAATCTAAAATTTTAACTAAAATTCATTTTTAAATCAATATTTATTAGAAAATTCTACGAGAATTCAATTATTTAACTACAAAAATAAATATTATATTAAATAATTAAATGTTTGTTAAAATTGAATTTTCATAAAGAATTTTATCAACAAAATTTTTAAATAATTTAATTCTCCTGACTAAATTTAATAAAATTTTTAAGAATAATTTCATTTTTCAAAAAATTTGATGAAAATTGTATTAAAAATAATTGAAATTCTGCCAGGAATTTTATTATAATTTTTGAAAATAATTTAATTTCGAGGAGGAATTTTTTTTTTATAAAGATAATTGAAATTTTGAGGAGAATTTTTCTAAATTTTTGAACATAATTGGATTTCTAAAAATGATTAGATACTCAAAAAAAAAACATTCATTTAAAATTAAATTCATTTAAAACATTTCATTTACTTACGAATTTCTTTAATTGTAAAATTGTTCAAAAACATCAATAAATTCTTTTTTTAATAAAAAGAATTAATAAAACTAAATGAAATTGAACATAAATAAGAAAAAAATTATAAAAATTTTAATTTCCATAAAATTTAAAAAAAATTAAATTATTTACAAAAAATTTGAAAAAATTCGTTGCAGAAATTCCATTATTTTTGCAAGTAATAAAATTTTTCACATGAATTTAATTATTTAAAAAATGCAACAATTCAATTATTTTCATAAATAATAAAATTCTTCACAGGATTCCAATTATTTAACAAAATTTAATAAAATTTATTGCAAGAATTCAATTAATAAAATTAATAAAATAAAATTAATATAATAAATTAATAATTAATAATAAATTACTTAATAACATAATAAAATTAATAAAATTATTCACAAGATTTCAATTATTTTTAATACAATTTTAAATAAATTCCTCAAAAAATATAATTATTTAAAAAAATTTTGCATGAATTCAAGTACATTTCACAAGTAATAATTCTTCGCTGAAATTCTATTATTTTCAAAATCTACTATTTTAATAAAAAATCTCAAAAGAATTCAATTATTTAAAACAAACGTAATAAAATTCGTTGCCGGAATTCAATTATTTTCATAAATAATAAAATTTTGTACAGGATTTCAATTAATTAAAAAAAAAATTAATTCGTTGCAGGAAAAATTTTTGAGAATAATTTCATTTTTCGAGAAATTTGATGAAAATTGTACTAAAAATAATTGAAATTCTGACAAGAATTTATTTTATTATAATTTTTGAAAATAATTGAATTTCAAAGAGGAATTTTATTTTTTATAAAGATAATGGAAATTTTGACAAGAATTTTTGTAAATTTTTTAACATAATTGGATTTCTGCGAAAAATTATAATACTTTTGAATGTAATTGAATTCTTGAGACGATTTTTATTAAGATTTCTTTTTTAATAATTGAATTGTTTTGTGAAAATTTATTGAAATAGTAGACATTGAAAATAATTGAATTTTGGCAAATTTTTGAAATTAATTAAATTTCTACAAAGAATTTTATGAAAATTATTTTAAAAAAATTTTTATTGTTACAAACAATTTCATTATTTATGAAAATAATTCAATTTTTTGAAGAAATTTAATAAAAATGTATTGAAAATAACACTTAAATTGTAATAAATAAATTTTAGTAAAATTTTTTTAAAATAATTGAATTTCTTTGCTGAATTTGAATAAAATTTTTAAGAATAATTACATTTTTCGAGGAATTCTATTAAAATTGTATTAAAAATTAAAAATAATTGAAAGTCTGCGATGAGTTTTACTATGTATTTATGAAAATAATTAAATCCCTGTAAAAAATGTTATTATTTTTGAAAATCATTGAATAATAATTTATGAAAATAATTTGTAATAAAGGGCATTTATAATAATTATTATAATAACCATTTGTTATAACCATTTATTATAACAGTCGTTGTTTATAACTTCGGCTACTTATAACCGAAGTTATAATACGAAACCAACCATTGGTTAAAAACACTGTTGGTTATAACTTAGGGCATTTTTAACCATTAGTTATTAAAAGTAAAGAAAAGTATTGTTATTGTTATTGTTAATTAAGAAAAGTATTGTTTATTACTTTGCTTAGTTAGATAGCCTATTAATTATAACTACGGATAATTATAACAACAATTGGTTAAAACTTGGGTTGATTATAACTTTATAACCAAAGATGTTTATAATCATTAGTTATAAAGACCATTGCTTACGACTAGTTTGATATAACAACTATTATTAGTTAATTAAAACTTCAATTGATTATAACTAAGGTTATACATAACCAATAGTAATAAAAATCAGGGATTTTAATTTCGTTTAATTATAACAATCATTTGTTATAATTTGGGTTAGTTACAACTTCGATAGTTATAATTTGAGTTAGTTATAACTTCGATGGTTATAACTGAAGTTAGTTATAACTTCGATGGTTATAACTGAGGTTAGTTATAACTCCCATGGTTTCAATAACAATTAGTTAAAACTTTAATTGGTTATAATAATCATTAGTAAAAAGGTTTGTTGGTTTTAATAACCATTAGTTTTAATTTTGCTGGTTTATAACTTCGGTTTGTTTTATTGACCATTTTAGTTATGTAACTATATATATACAGTTATAGTATTAAAAAAAACTATAATTAAGGTTATCATAACAACCAAGGTAGATGTAGAGATTGAAGTAGAAGAAGAAAAGAAAAAAAAAGAAAAAAATTTTTTTTAATATCATATTGATACAATCAGGAAAGAAACGTGACAACACAATGCAATTAAATTAGTGATTAGAATGAAACGCTAATGGCGCACTCATCGGGTTAAACATTAATTGCATTTTAATGAAGTTATTGACTCACGGTCTGCGTTCGGGTCACCAGAAGCTCACGTAAATGTAACGCTTTAACAACAATACCGTAACAACTCAAATCTACGTGTTATTACTTTTCTAACGGTTATTTTCAGTTCTCTTTCGAGTCTATAAAGCTAACGTGCGATATCGCACACATATCTTACGTGTATTCATATAAACGCGTAAAAATAAAAAAAATCTCTAAATGTTCATTTTCTACATTAAATATTTGACCTCCTTCAGATAAACTCTTCTCATTTCAAAAGTATATATCTTAACCAGAAGTTCCTATTGACTCTTGACTCTCTCGATTCCATATTTGAAATGAAAGTTCAATATTTATTTCTTTCCAATTATTGCCAGGTTCATTTTTTAAATTAAAAAAAAGTATACACTTAATGGACAATTAACAAATTGTCCATTAAAAATAGGAGGCAAAAAAGTTGGAAAAAAATTTGACTATATTGTAATTTAATTAATTAACTTGAAAATATAAAAGTTCAACGAACTAATGATATTCATTTCGGGCGATGTATTTATATGAACGATGATGACAAGGAGCGTATTCGGTAGCCAAAAAGATGCGCATTAAAAGTTTTTATTGCTTTTCGATATCACCGGTTTTTTTTTCAAGTATTAAGATGAAGCACCGCGACGCATCGATTTCCTTTGGCTTTTAAGTGTGAAACACGAACCACAATTCTTTTTCATGTTAAATTTTATTATACCGGAAAGCCAGCAGCTTTGCATTTCATTTATTTTTATGGATTTGTTTCTCTATAAATATATATGCCAAAATAAAACACCTAAAATTCCCTCCTATTGTAAATCCTATACCTGAGGAATCGAAAAAAAATTGAAGCCTTTTTTTGACAGACAATGTTTTTAAAAAAAGATCAATTTTTTTAAATTCATTTTCCAGGGTAAACAATTTAATCAGAATTTCATTTTTAATTTTATACTTGAAATAAAATTCTGTATGGATCAATTTAAATGAATAAAATTATTAATTTATATTAATTAAATTTAAATTTTATTAATTAATTATATTAAATATTAAAAATTATTTGACACAATTAAAAAAAATTTGAATTTTGATAAAAAAAAATATTTATTTGACAAGTCAAAGTAAAGAATTACTTGAATTAAATAAATTATTTTCAGTGTAAAACTTAATTATTTGTCAACAAGGTGGAAAAAATCGCAAACTGTTAGAAGAGCATCGCTATAACAATCGGAAAAAAATTTCCCAAGCGTCGGGAATTGAACCCTCGTGCCTTAAATACCTCGTGCCATTTTACGATGCCCTAACCACCTGAGCCAAGTTCAAACGCAAAAATTTTATTCTCAACCATAAAATTTTTATTCCTCTTTAAAAATTCTCCTATAATTTAATACCAAAAGAAAATTTAAATCCAAACAGAAATCTCCAGTTCTGTCATAATTTTTTTTTTCCAAAAGTAAAATTTTCATTTATACGAGAATACAAAAAGAATCTTTCAGATTAAACAGCAAATCGCATATTCACCGGCGAAATAAATAATAAACCGAGGAAAAGATCTATTGTCTCAAATAAAGAAAATAACCCATCCATATCAGAATTTCGAAGAAAAAAAAGGAATATATATAGTAAATATAAAAAAAGACTCGTGTCTTACTCACAGTTTCATCTTCCCTGGACCGCAGCTTCCGCACAAGGTTCTTCAGCTTCTCGATCTCTCTGCTCTTGCTGCGTATCTCATCCATCTGTAATATGCACGTGTGTGGCGAATTTAGATTTTTTTTTCACATCATCAGGATTAACATCGCATTCTGAAATTCTCGGACTCTTAAAGGTCACTGAGAAGATTATAACCAATGAAAATATGTGGAATTATGTTTCCTGCCTTTTGTAAAGCTCATAAGCGTGGAAATCGGTCTTAAGACCTTCAAAGAGACGCCACAAGCGACTTTTTGACGTGAATATTTCATGACTTTAAGATCTCTTAAAGAAATTTTATGTATTCTTATCATTGTCAAAAGAAAAGAAACATAATGTTGGTAATTTATATTTATCTTTCTTTTATAATCCTTCTTTTTTTTGTTATGTATTATATAATATTATAATTAATATTTAAATATTAATATTAATATTACATAATATACACATTATACGACAATATAATTATTATATTAATAATTAATAATATATTAAAATCAATAATATTAATATATTATTAATATTATTAATATTATTATCAATTACTCTTACATTAACTATATTTAATTCTTGCTTCAATGAACTGAATAAAAAAAAAATATATCATAAATATTAATATTAAAATATTATAATTTATATAAATTTATGTAAATAGTTTATAAATATATATAAGTTACATACTTATAAATATAAGTTCACAACGTTTATGATGGAAGGTTAAAAAAAATTTTTATTTTTCAGAAGGAAAATAATAAATTTTTTTACTTCAAATTTTTTTTATCTACACTGAGAGAAATGGATAGTCAGATTTTGATGTTAAAAAGATGATGTTACACGATACTATCATTATGCTACTGCCAACCATCACAGATGCTAAAAAAAATATAGTTATGCTACCCCGTACTACCAAGATGTTACTCCTGATGATATTGATGGTAACGGTGACTATCTAGATAGCTGTCTGTATACGTAGCATTAAAGATGGTCACCCTAACCACAATTATGTTACCCACTACTATAAATTTCTCTCCGTGTAAATGGTGGATCAAAAACCTTTAAAAAAATTATTTAAAGTTAAAAACTTTTAAAAAGTTTACAAAAATTTGCTTTGAAAAATATTTTTTCTTTTAAATCGTTGATTATAAAAGCTTTGAAATTCACCAAAGTTAATGCTTAATTTATTTTACTAATATTATTATTATTACTTTTAAAATCTTTATTTTTTTGTTTTTAATTATTAGTAAAAATTTTAGAAATAAAAAAGTGATAATATAACAATAATAAAAATTATAATTTTAATAACATTTTCTCTAATGTTGAACAATAATAATAATTTGCATTATCTTTCTTTTGTTTATTTATTTTTATTTATTTACTATTAAAAAAATTTGAAACATTATAACGTCAAAAATTTATAGAAATTTAAAGAAACAAAATATTGTTGATATAATAATAAATATTATTATTAAAAATTTTTATTATCCTTATCAATTTTCAATATCTTTATTTGTTATAATTATAATAATAACTTTAAGAATAGTGCTAGTAATTAAAAATAGGAAAAAATTAATAATTAACAAAAATTATTATAACCATAAAAAAAACAATAATGAAAAAATTTAAAAACAAAAACAAAATTGTCCTACAGTTGTAAACATTGAATTGATTAAATGAAAGAAACTTTTTTTTTATTTAAATATTTTTAAAAATTACTCTACAAAAAAGAAAAATAATTAAAATTAAATATTTTCTTAGTTAAAAATTAATTTTTTCAATATAAAAAATAATTTTTTGTATAAAAAATACAAGAAGAAAAAAAATATCGTTTGTTATAATATGACAAATAAATGTGTAAATAATTTAAATTGTATAATAAATAAATTTTATAATAAATTTATAATAAATAAATTTTCATGCAGACAAATTGAGAAGAGAAATAATTAAAAATTGGTAGTAATTGAAAAATAATAATAATAACTTTTTTTCAATGAAAAGAAGAACGAATTTGTGGAGAAGGGACGCGAAGGGATCAGGTGGAGGTCGATGGCTTCGATCGAAATTCAATGGTTCTTTTTAAGGGTGTGTGTGCGTCTGACCAAGATCTCTTGCTCCACTTTTATACAGTGGACGATCGGTATGGAAGCAGGCGAAAGGCTCTCTCTCATTTCGCGTGCAACTTCCAAGAAAATCATGGCAAACTGCCGACAAACGCGCGCGGGAAAAGTCTGAATGATTATACCTGTCTCTGCGATTTGTCTCTCTTTCTCCTTCTCTCTTCCTTACTCTCTTCCTCTCTTTGCTTTCAAAAAAAAAAAAAAAAAGAAACAAAAATTGTAAGCTTTCATGATTTTTAAGAAAAAATCTTAGCGACAGTCAAAATAAAATATTTTTCATTTTATTTAGTGAATTTAGAAAAATATTTAGGGGCATTTGAACCATTATTACGTCACAGTTTGTGCAAAGCATGTGTTCTAAAACTTTCACGTCAAAAAAATTCAAATGTCCTTAAACAAAATGAATTTCGTTCATTTGAACGTTAAGAATATTAGGCAAATTATTTTTCGGAAATTCTTCAATTTATTAAATGTACATTAAAAAATAAAAACCTGAAATAATTTTAAAAAATTTCGATGAAGCATTTTGAAAAAATTAAAGTATGAAAAATTCAGATTTTTAAAGGTTTTAATTTGAAACATTTAAAAAATTCAATTATTTCTAAAAATTGCAATTATCAGTAACTTCTCCAAAAATTTAATTATTATCTAAAAATTTTAAAAGATTATTTTTTTATCAATTTTTATTAGAAAATTCTACAAGAATTGAATTATTTAAATACAAACAGATAATATATTGAATAATTGGATGTTTCTTAATATTCAATTCTTATACATAATTTTGTCAACAAATTTTTAAACAATTGAATTCTTTCGACGAATTTTCATAATATTTTAAAGAATAATTACGTTTTTCGAGCAATTCGATTAAAATTGTATAAAAATAATTGAAGTTCTGATATGAGTTTTATTATTTATAAAAATAATTGAATTATTGCGAAGAATTTTATAGAAAAGTTTCAAACCGTTTTTTGTTTATTTTTGCTGTTTCAGTTGTTTGGATTTAATTTATTTTTCTATCTGTTTTTTTTTTAAATTTATGCACATTCTATTTTTAATAATTAAATTCCCGTGAAATTTTCATTATTTTAAAAAGTAATTGAATATTCTCGTATAACTTTGTCAAAATTGTTTTTAAATAATTGAATTCTTTTGTGAAATTTTATTAAGAGAATATAGATCTAGGTACAAATTATTTAATTAAGAAATTCAATTATTTTTACAAGTAATAAAATTTTTCACCTGAATTCAATTATTTGAAAAATGCAATAAAATTTGTTGTAAGAATTCAATTATTCTCATAAATAATAAAATTCTTCACAGGATTTCAATTATTTAAAAAAATTTAATAAAATTCATTGCAAGAATTAAATTATTCTCCTAAATAAGAAAATTCTTCACAGAATATTAATTATTTTTAATAAAATTTTAAATAAATTCCTCGAAAAATGTAATTATTTAAAAAAATTTTTGCATGAATTCAATTCTATTTCACAAAATTTCATTCTTCGCTGAAATTCAAATATTTTCAAAATCCACTATTTTAATAAAAGATCTCATAAGAATTCAATTATTTTAAAAAAATGTTATAAAATTCGTTACCGGAATTCAATTATTTTCATAAATAATAAAATTTTGTACGATTTCAATTAATTAAAAAACAAATTTCTTTATTCGTTTCAGGAATTTAATTATTTTCATAAATAATGATAATAATAAATAATTTCAAAAATTTTATTAAAATTCTTCGAAAGTATTCAATTATCAATTATTTTTAAAAAATTCAATTATTATCTAAAATTTTAATTGAAATTAATTTTTAAATCAATTTTTAGTAGAAAATTCTACAAGAATTCAATTATTTCAATACAAAAATAAATAATTTATTGAATATATGAATTTTTCTCAAAATTGAATTCTCATAAAGAACTTTATCAACATAATTGATTTTTTTTCCACGAAGTTTAATAAAATTTTCAAGAATAATTACATTTTTCGAGGAATTCGATTAAAATTGTATTTAAAAATAATTGAAATAAATAAATAAAAAACATAATTGAAAATTCAATTATTCAATTATTTATATTAAAATAATTGAATCTCTGTAAAACATTTTATTATTTGTGAAAATAATTGAAATATTGCAAAGAAATTTATAAAAAAAAATTTTAAATAGTTGAATTCCAGTGAAATTTTTATTATTTATAAAAATAATTTAACGTTTGCTTAGAATTTTATCAACATTTTTTAAAAATAATTGTTTTTGAATTATTACAATTTCTTATTCTTGTAGAATTATTGGTAAAGGGCTTTTCATGTCCGTTTATATACTTTTAAATAAATTAAAATAGTGCATAATGAAAATAATTGAATTGAGGAAAATTTTTGAAAGTAATTGAAATTCTGTCAAGAATTTTATTAAAATTTTTGAAAATAATTGAATTTTTGGAGAAGAATTTTAGTAATTATAAAGAGAATTGAAATGTTGACGAGAATTTTTTTTTTAATTTTTGAACATAATTGAATTTTTGCGAAGAATTTTATTACTTTTGAAAAAAATTGAATTTCTACAATTGTTTCTAACTTCTCAAAAATTCCAAAAACTTTAATAAAAATCCCTGACTTTTCCCTGAATTCTCTGATTTCTCTATAACCTGAGGCAATCCTGATTAAGTTATTTAAGAAAAAATTATTATTAGAAATAGAAAAAATTGAAGGTTTTGTATCAAATTCGTGGTAATTTTTTTATTTTAATAATTAATTTATCCTAAAATCACCCATGAATAAGATATATATTTTTAGAAATGTTTTCAAATATAATTACGCATTTAATCACTTTCACTAGCCCTGAAATTTCTCACACAATTATTTCTTGTATAAAATCAATTCAAAATTGATGTCTAGATAATATCGAAACGTTTTAGCAAAACACA